TGGACCACGCCCGGCCCGCAGCCGCCCCGCCTCAGGGGCTGAGCCTGGCCCCCTCCCCTCCGCTTGCGAAACCAAGGGCCAGGGCACTCAAGCTTTCCCCTTGCTCTCCTCCGCGTACGCCTGGCTCACCGCCATTCACCTGCAGGAAGACTAGCCTGTCCTGCCAGGCTGGTCTCTGTGAGGTGGCAACAGAGCCAGCACCCTGCATTTGATTTTAAGCTCAGCTTGATAGAGAGGCACTTCACTTCTGTGAAATCTGGAGCGTAAAAACGAGAGGCGGTAGTAACCCAGTTGGCCACAGGCCAAGTGGTCTTTTTGGGACTAGGGTCCCCAGTACCACTCAGGACAGCCCTGCTCATGGTGTTGCCCCCCACACCATGCCATTATCAGGGGCAAAGGATGTCTCCTGCGGAAATACACAATTAAACCTGAGAGACATTTCCTCATTCTGATCGACATACTCCAAAGCGCCATGTCCCCATATGGTGCGCTCATCCACCAGCCGAACTGTCACATTCATGCTACATTGTGCTAGACATGGAAGCCAATCTGATGTAACACGGCTTATAAATAGTTTAGGATTCTGCAGGGTGAAAGTGTTAAATGCAGAGCTGTCACAGCCCAAAAAAGACAAGGAGGGTCAGTGAAGTGGAACATGACAGTACGGCAATTTACTTCAAAAGCCCATGCATCCAATGAGTTGCTCGGGAGCCAAACTCTGCAGACCTTTATGAGCTGCCTTAGTGAGGGCACGGGGATGCTGCAGACAGAGCTGCGTGATCTCTGAATAGATCCTCACAGGACTGATGAGTCGCAGATTCTCACAGAATCACAGATTTTATGATCTCATGTGACCCATGCTGCTTCAGGATGCCTGCTCCTGACCTTCATGCACACTCCTAGCTTGAAAGAAGTGAAAACCCACCCACTTGAAATCAGCCTGCTTACAAAATAAACTAGTGTGGCTTGTGTGATTTTCACAGCTTTATAAAAAAAAAAAAAAAGACAAAAAGAGACTGGACAATGACCAGCGACTGGTTTGTTTCACGTGTTTAACTGTGCACTTCAAACACTACTATCTACTTTTTGTAAGCCTTTCACATGGATACTTACTTTAAAGGGGATTACTTTACCCCTGTGCAATGCAAGGCTTCCCTGTCTTCCCCTCAAAATCTGATGAATGTTGTTTCCAAAATATCAGGGGTTGAGAATAGCAGTTATGCAATTTCTAGCTCTTATGTGATGGCACCACCATTCTTCAGTTATCACAGTACTGTACCTTTCACATATACAGCACCGGTACCATGATAACCGAAAAAGGACAGTTCATAGTCTTATTATTTGATGCCATTGTTAGATAAACAACCCTCCCTCCATTTAATTAAAGGAAAACTGCTCAGTCTCTAGGAATAACTGATCTAGTCAATCACTTGTCTGTCTGACAGAACAAATGAGATTTTTGATACTGGATGCCCTTCCCCTTGCAACCTGTGTGTTGCAACTAGCAATGTAAGAAATTTAGTCTTTTTCTATCCTCTGAACCACTACCAGACACTGACAAAGCTGTAATAAAAATTGAGACTGAAGGACTTGGCAAAAGTCTGCTGCCCAATAGGTCTAAAGCTTTGGGGTTGCACATAGCTCCATGAATTGAACTCTTAAGCTGTTGCCTATGGACAGTAACAGCTTTAGCGTTTGGCTAGCCATTTGAAACATGCCCTTTAATGACACAGCTACAGAGAGATCACTAGGAAAACACGGTAGTCTATGCTAGGCAACAAAAAGCAAACTGATGTACACATGCAATCCAAGACCAAGAACCAACAATCAACCCCATCTCTGCAATTCTAATTGCCTCAGAACAAGGAGTAATATAGAAAAGGGAACCATCTTCTAATGTGTAGAAGTAAACACTAGGTAACATACACCACTTGTCTTATTTGAAGATGAGTCCAAGTTGTTCTATTCATAGCCACAGGCAAAGTCTTCCATATCCAAAAAAATAGCTGTGCAATAAAACTAGTGAATTAAACAAGACTGGGTAATTAAACTGAACAAAACAACTTACGTGTATGGAGACAGAGGTCCTAACAGGACTTTGGAAACATCCCGTTGTCCAAGGGTCATGAGGAGCAGAGCAAGGCTCTGATTTGTTGAATCTACACAGCCTCCCTGCAATCCAAAATGTTTTAATAATTAATCTCTGTACAAACCAGAAGTTTGGATGGGAGGAGAGTAACGAAGGAGAAAGATACACTTAAAAGGCTGAATTACCGCTCCTGATTTTCAAGGTCCAAAAAGATAAAAATCTAGATTTTATACCAATGACAAATTAATTTCACACGGCAGGCTGGGAAAGGAACAGAACTAAAACAAAACCCAGTAAAAAGGTCACATTAAAGATCCCTCCCGTCTCTCCCAACTTTCTAATATCACAGAATATAAGCACTGAAAAATTTTTTTGCAGTAAACTGAAAACAGGTATTAATTATAGTTCATGCACTTGAAAATACCATGAATTACAGCACTTTATGATAACTATAAAAAGTTACATTCAGACAAACAGTTCGACGTTAGTAGGTGCCAAACAGCAAGTTAAAAGTTGTTTCACACACATTCACCTAAGCCCTTGCTGCTAACTTTTATGGTTTTGAAACATTCTTTTCCCATTTTTAAAATGGGAAGAATTTTTTTATTGCTATGTGAAAGAGCCATGCATAAAATTATGTAGAACTACACATACTCTTGTATGTATTTGACTGTACTAAGTCATATATGCATAGTAAATTGTTTTGTATGCAGAAAGTGTTAACTGTGATGCATATGTAAATTAGAATTGGAAGGCTTTGTTTACAAAGCTTGAACACAAATTACTATAAAGGTGTATTTATATATTTACTATAAATAAAGGATACTTTCAGTCAAGGCTGCTGTACAGAGAATTTGCCAACTATTACTATGCAAACACACTGAAAATAGAAAAAAGTATCTGGCATAACATTATTTCGGACTGTCCTCATATTTGTCCTGATGCACAGCCACATGAAATCTGTGAACAGTTTCCTGCTGGATCAGGCCTAATCCTAAACCCTCTAAATAGGGTCTCCGGAGAGAGCAAAGCTAAAAACTCATCCTTTTAAAACCAAGTTCTCTAATGAGGTAAACAGATAGTTACCTCTGTGGGCAAGGACTAAGTAAACTGTCATCATTTTAAGAAATAACATCATCCAAAAAGGCAAGGGAGAGGCAAAATAAATTTAGGTCTCAGATTAAGAAAACACAATGATGTGACAACCTCAGCACATTTACTCAGCGAGAGAGCAGAAAGGAGGACCTTTCCAAGGAGAGATACTGAAGGTTTAATTTTCCAGATGGCCTTGCTTCAGGGTGAGAAACCTCAGCTCTGTTCTTCTGAAAAAAGCCTCTGCACTTCATGCAACAAATGATACACCACACTGAAGGAAACACATTACATTCACTACCATATCCTAACTCCTAGCAGCAGGCTTGTACAGCAGCCCTTGCCGTTTTAACTGTGCGAACCTGCCACACCAAGGTGAAGTTCATGCATTCAACCTAGTGACTTCTGTGGGACTGATAAAAATTGTGCTTTATCTTGAGCAAACTGGGTACCTGCAGAATTTGCTGGTGCAATCTGGAGCCACAGCTCTCACCAGCTGTATTTGCAAATCTGAAACACGTACAAGAAGCAGATGAGATTTTGGTAAGGAGTACTCCTGACAAAGGACTTTCTGTATTTGTAGCTGGGTTAGTAATTCAAAATGCTCCTTATGACTTGGATGAAAACTTTACCTTTTCTGAGCTTGTTTTTAAAGCTGAAAACGTTACAAAACATGTATTTTTATGACCAAATGAATAAAAAAAGCTGCAATCAGCATGGAGACAACCACATCCTAAACAATATAGCAAAACATGTTGCATCCACCACATCCTAGCTGCTTACGTAAGTTCTCTTGCTGCAGTGAGTCAGTCATCCCCACCACTGTTGTGCGTTAGCAATGTGCTGTTATGCCCATTCCCACACAGGCAGTTGCCAGACAGGAAAATTAAGTGGTTTTCTTGTAATGTAATGATGACAGAACAGTAACTTGTGCCAAACGAAGGACATGCCTCTCCCAAGGAGGCCAACTTATTTCTCTGAATCCACCTGCCACTTAATCAAGGGTCCAAAATCAGAAACAACCCTCCCACAAGAAATGGCATGGGCAAAGTCAGAGCCGAAGTACTGACATTAGTTCCAAAACATCTGACATTTGTTACCAACCTAGGATGCAGCTTCTAGTCCGTATTAATTGTTTATGGCAGTTTCTCCATTATTGTTTCTATTGACAACAGAGCCAGATCCAGCTGGATGTGACAATTTGAGACACAGATCACTTAATATCTCATCCATTTTGAAATGTTACACAAATAATACAGCTGACATGCACACAGAAGTATCACAACTCTGGGTATTGGACAACAGTGTTTCGAAGAGGACTGTTCTTCTCGGCTTGACCCCAGCTCTGATTTAGTCTTGGTTATATTTTGGCATACACATAATTTCTTCTATTACCCGTGCGGTACATATTTACATGCCTCAGTAATTCATTACATCAAGTGCAGAGGTGGTGGGGTTTTTTTTCTTTTTGAGAATGGAGCAGAGCCTTGTCACACTGAAGTAAGGCCATGCTGAAAATTAACCCTTCAGTGAAATGCTTCACTCATTTTAGCTCTAGTTAAATAAAACAAACAGCCTTACCCCTCCTGCCCCCACAAATCCCCCTAATAACTTGATGTTTCTTCATTAAAGAACTCGGCCTTAAATAGCTATTGCATCCTTCCCTATTTCTCATGATCACAAGGAATATAAGCATTCAATCCTTTTCCAGTTCTTCCAGGCCTTTCCATTCTGCCAATCATCTACTATACAAAGTTCCCATAACTAATACCTTTTGAAAACAAGAGGAAAATCCTTCTTGGCCTTCTACAATTAAGCTTAGGTATGAACTGCATCTGCATTTTCAAAGACAATGCTAGCCAGTCACTCCATGCCCCCTCGTTCAGGCCCACTGTAATTAGCACTGTGACTTATTATTAGTCAATTAGCTCTGACATCTTTCCATCAACGAATGTACATAAAAAAACCTCCACTGATTCCAAGAATCATATGTCCTCTTTTATTTCTTTTTGAAGGCTTTGTAAAAGGGACCATTTAGCACTTAACATAGCAAGACTCAAACCCTTAGATTTCCTAGGTGGTAAAGTTCACATAATAGCAAGCATTAAGCAAGCACTTGAAGAGATGTCCCTGGGCCCCTTTAAACAGCAATGAACTCCAGCAGATTTGTGGGTGACCCCGACAGCTAAAACCCTTCTACAGAGAATTATCTCTAGTGCTCCCAGAGTGCTTTTTTCTGGTCAACCCTCCCTCGGCTCCTGCAGCACAGGACCTACAGGGAAAGACTCAGACAGAGAAATAATTTCATAAAAAGAGGATCTAAACACAGGGAGATAAATTCTCCCTTCAGCCCTGTATTCAGTGAGTCACTGGTGTAAAGAAAGTAGGACTTAAGGAGTGCCTGTTTAGAGCAACACATTCTTGTCCCATGCACAGCTTTCCCAAATTTTTACTGTTTTACTAGATGTGTTACCTAGGCAATAAAACGTAAAAAAAAACCATATCTGCAAACTAAGCAAACATTGCATGCTTTGCAACATGTTTTTATATACTCTCCGGGGTCAGCACTAGATCAAACTGACCTAAGCTCAACTGAAAAAAAACCACCAAAAAAAACCAACCAAACCCCCAAAATCAGTAAGAAAACACTAACCAGGAATTTGGAAAGATGGGCTATGTGAGCATATGTGTCATACAAAAACTCAAGTGTGCATTCTGAAAACTAGAGAATGAAACCCACGATACTGCCTATGACAGAGGTAACGGTGAATTCATGAGCAGTGAATAAGGACTGAGCACTCCCGTGGATAGGCAGCGCAACAGCCAAAAATGCTAACAAACAAGAACTTTTCCACCATGAGCTCCTGCAGCGGAGGACCTCAAGCAATTTGTACACTGCTCAGCACCTGTCGGACACTCTTGGACTGAAGCGGCCCACACACAGAAGAGCAGGAGCACTTTCCAGGAGCACCAGCAGTACCACAGTGGGCCACAGCTAACAACCTCACCCACTCAGAATCTGATCTTCAAAGACATTGAAACCTCACGGTCTATCACTTTATCATTCAAAGACTTGCCTGACCCTGTTTCCTCTTCAAACACTTGTTCTGGGATCCTCAGTATCCTGGTGCTTTGCAGAATTTGACTTACCACGTTCAAATGGCTGCAGTACATTAAAGCAGAAAATTACCTGGTTCAGGCCTTTCCAGCCCTCTTCATTTCAGTTCTCTGACGTCTGACTCAGAAGAAAGTATATCTGGACAAATTCCCTCACTACTTTCAAACTGTCAATTGCTGGATGGTTTTCAAAGGAAAAAAATACCTATTGCTGCTAGTAAAGTATGTAGAAATTGGATTTTTGGTGCTTCCAACCATCTGACTACCCGAAGATGTTTCCCAAGAGGTTTACACAAAGCAACAGATGTATCAAATTTTAGGTTGGTTTGCTTGGGTTTTGGGTTTTTTTTTCGGGAGGAGGGAGGAAGCTGAAAGATTTCACAGCTCACCCCTCAAATAAAAATAACTACCTGTCACAACATAATTGTAGAAACAGACATATGTTTCAGTCACTAGTTGTGACTGCATTCTCCGTGCATGCTTTCAAATGCAAGGCACCTGGACTGCAGCCCACAAACCCCCATTTGTGGCGTTTCTACGAGATAAGAACCCTGGGCTAGAAAAGGAAAGTGCTCTAGCAACATCGTGCATATACTGAATAAACAAAGACAAAATATTAATGGCAGACTGGAACAAGTGGGCAAGCTGGTAATTCAAACAGATGAAGGGGTTGCAGCAGGGAAAGGAAAAGATAACATAGGCATAGATTAACAATCTACTACATGCATGGATGTGATTTATGAGGTTAAGGAGTATTTTTATAATTGACTACATTACCTAATACAGAATCGCATTAATGGCATTTTTAATACTTTGCAATACTTAGTCCTATCAGGTTATTTCAGTTCACAGCAATTGCTTTTTTTAAAACAGTGAGTACAGTTTGTAAGTGACTGCCTCCTAAAGGCCAAATGTGTTTTATCAGTACTAACAGCTACTTATTTTAACATTTGTGGAGATACAACAAAAGCAGGTAGGTTCTTTATTAAATCAGAAACTCACTGTGATGCTAATCACCAAGTGATTTGTATGACTGAAAGCTGGTCTTCCACGTAGTCTCACCACACATGAAAAGCATTTTAATTAAAAAAAAAAAAAATTATGCTGCAGAAGACTGTGATGCACTTAAGATTCCTAGGCAAAGACTGTCCTAGCTCCTTTTCAACAAAATCATTCAGCCAATTCCTCACACAACCAGCAGGTTTCAGCACATTTGACTGTCATCATCACCATAAGCCAGCCACCACTGAGGCTAGCTGGGTTTTTCTGCCGTTTTCCTCCTATGTTCTCCCACTCATAATACCCCATTCCAACCACTAGTTTAAGAGCATTGACTCTATTACTCCTCCAACTCATTATTTAAAAAAGTAACAGCCCACGTGAAGCCAACTGAATTCTGCTGCAGACAGAAAGGAACGAAAGAAAAATGTGCCACTGCTATGATGCATAGTAACATCTCCTGAACAGGAGAAATAACATGGCCCAGTAAGTCACTGCACTGTTAATGGACCCATTCAAAACCGCTCCTTACCTGGATGTAGATGACACTGGCAGCAGCAGATCATCTCTCTGTTTCAGTCTGAGCTTGCCTGAGAGACCCCCCAAACCACCTCTTCCTTTACTAATATATCATTACCTTCTTCCCCTATGGCTATACACACAAAACACATTGGCCACTTACCCTGTAGACTTCCTCAAGCAACAGCTTAGCACAGTTCTGGCCAAGTTCCTCGGGAAGCACAGCTGCTCCTTGGCCCTGAGGATTTGAGGCTAGCTCAGCACTGAGAATAGTGCCATTGATGGTTTCTGCAGTAAGGCACATGCCAAAACCGGGTGATCTGAAAGAAAGGGAAAAAGTGCATTTGATTTAACAACAAAAATTGAGTAGAGACACAAAAACTTCTCCCAGTCAACCTCCTTCTCAAGTCACAAACAGCTCCTCTCACAGGACAAAACTGGGAATTTGGACTTGTTGACAAATTTCCTGTTCTAGACATTTGATTTACCCTGGAAAAAACATTAACAACAGTATTTAAAAGTTGTTTAATTTAAAAAGTACTACTTGCCCCAAACCTGCTATGCTGGCTATTCCTGGCAAACTCTTTAAAAAGGAAAAAAAAAAAGAAAAAGAATAGAATATCCAAACCTCAGAATTATCATCCTCTAGTAAAAAGAAAAGTGTCTTTCACATTTATTTAATTCATGATTGATGAACATTTCAAAGGTATCTGGAGTTTCTCCTCTGTGACATTCAAAACCAAAACTAACTTTGTTTAGGGATTGAGGTCTTTCCCTGGAAGCTTCAATATTTAGCAATATTAGACCATAGCCATGGCACCAAACAGGAGAATAACAATTAAAAAAAAAAAAAATTGATTGACATTACTTGTATTTCCAATCACTTCTTTTTGCTTTCAGTTCAACACCATCCAAATCACTACAACCGTGTAAGAACTCGGAACATACAGCTTGAAGAAAGAAACAAACCCCCTATTTTCCTCAGAGCTTAGGATCCTACAAAATGTTATTGTGAGAGTTAAGAAACATTTTTGATACAAGAAAGTCACAGATGGCTGAGTACAGCTTGTTGAGAAATCAGAAAATTGTAAGGGAAGGAAAAAAGAAGTCAAGATCATCTAATTTATAGGCTCTGGAAGAACCCCAATAGCTAGCCATTCAAAATAAAGTTAAGTTAACTTGTCACAGTTCTGGACTCCTGCTGCTTCCACCATACAGACTTTCTAATTAAAATAGTTCCACTGACCCAAAACTATAAGGAATGTCACCAACATCAACAAACCACAAAATCAAACCCCAAACACCAATACACACAAACTCTCCCAGTGCCAGAAAAACAACAGTTCCCCCAGAGGCATTTCAGTAGGGTGGGAATGAAAAAGATATCAGTGGTTCCCACCCATATTTAACTGTCTGCACTTGCTGAGCAACACAGAAGGTATGTTAAAGATGTTTCTCTTCTTTCCTTCCACTGAAAGACAGAGAGATCTAGACACCAGAACAGTGTCTAAGATGCTATTTTTTGGACAAGTATCCTTTAATAACTATACCCACTGGCAGATTTTGTGAGTGTTCAGAAGCATGTGGCAATCTGCCTAAATAAAAATTAAAATCATCCAGTACCTCATGTATTAGGAAGCATCTGCACAAACTTTTTGCTGTAAATGCTCAAAACAGAACCGTGAAGTTTCTGTTGAGAGAGACATTATAGGTGGCAGAAGATGCTCCAATAATGTATTCCCTGAAGCTTCTGGCACTATGGAAGGGGTATAGTTCAACACTGTATTCTGAAATGGGGACTTGGTTTGTGCTGGGCACAGATGGGCTGAACTAGTTAGTCCTTGCTGGTCTTACTCATCACCAAAGGCAGCACTGGAAAGAAAGAGGCATATTGCTTGTCTTCCTTGTCCTGCCAAGCCAACACACACGCACATGGGCACGGGGAACCAGGTAATAAAAAAAAGCTTTGGCAAAGTGGTACAATATTAGTATCAGGTGTACTGCAGTCATACTGGTGCCATACTTATGCTGAATGTGACAGCACAGCAGCATCGGAAGGCTACATGCACCAGCAAGGTGGAGAGGGGTTCAGTTCCTCTTCTCATGCAATTACTTATCCCTCTCCATGGGCTACTCATGCAAGTAGTAATGGCGCTGCCACAATTAATTGGACTTTTCCACTTTATAAACAGATAAAAAACAAAATACGACCTCAAAAACTCATAGCTCCCAGAAAAATGTTCTCAATTTTGATCATCATTAACAGTCTGGAGCCACAAGACTTTTTAACCTGGGGTATCAAATAACATGCAGGATTGGAAAGGAAGAAAAAAAAATACTTAGAAGTGAGTCAACAATTTTTAGATTTGTAAATTTGCAAACCTAACAAGCTTTTTTTAAAGTAATATTTCAAAAAGCAGAAGGAGTGAAAGAAAATGTGCATGCTTGGATCTGAGTATACAGACAGAAAAGAAACAAATGAGATACCCAGAACTCCTTTAAACTCAACAAAAAGTGACAAGAGGACAATAAAGCTGACAGGTATCAGTAAAATTGTCTGTATCACATCCATCACTTCTGTGTCCTGCTGGCAAACAAAATCTGTGGAAGTACAGTAAATTAATGTCTTGATTTTCCAGTCCTCATTAGTGAAAGGACATTCTCTCAGCTATTAATGTAATGGTAAAGCAGAAGACAACCCATACAGCTCAAACACTTTCTAAAACAGTTTAGTCCCATCCTTAATACTACCATTTCCATCAGAAGGTGTATGGTCAAGTTTGAATGTTACTTTTCACAACACACCACAGCACCTCTGATTGTAATCTCAGTTCAAAGCAACAGGTTTAAAACTGAAGAGAGCTCAATTTGCCTTTAGTGGCAGTAACGATGTATTATAATCCTTGTCTAAGAAAACAGACAATTTCTATCCCCGTACCACAAGTAAAACAAACTTAGCTAGAAAATCATTCCATTTTTTCCCCCGAGAGAAACATTTATTACACGTCTGCAAAATAGGATGTCATGGTCTAAAATTCAGTAAAATTACAGATCACAATAACCTAGCAGATGAACAAATGCAGAATTACAGTTCTGTTCCCTGTGAATACTGGATACTCACTTTCCAGAGCTGACCCCCTTCATATGATCTGTGTAGATATAAACGTCTGGGAGGAATTTATTCAGGATGCTCCTTGCAGATTCCACCATTCTGTTTGCCATCTGTGGTGACACTCTGACAGAGTATCTACATTTCCGAGCTAAGGAATTCATTGTGATCACAAACGAAATTTAAACCAGCGACTGACAAAAGTGGCTAAGAGGTCCCAGTGCATTACTTCAAAGAATGTGGTTTTGTCCTATACATCCATTCATGAGCGCTGGTCCATTTTCCTGTACTTAGAGGAACACATGTGTGTAAGTGCTTTCTACAGTCTTTTCAGTGATACACACTGAAGTGAAGTACACATAACACATGATGAAGAACAGATTACTATGAATAGGTAACCACCTATCTTAAAAATGCCCTTCAATAATTTTAAGTTGCTGTTCTGTCATCCCATGCTTTCTTATGATGAAGGAAGCCCTGCATGCTCTGCTCCTCGTATATTATTAAAAGATGGAGACGAGTGAAGTTTCTCTGGATTAGCAGCAAGAAATCCTGTCCTTTTTCTATCAGGGTGAAATTGGGTAGATTAAAGACAAATGTTTTAACGAAAGAAAAAGATAACTTTACAAGGCTAAAAAAAGGTATCTTTGCTCTCTCCAACTATTTTGCAGTGCTGTAAGGCTATCTAGTTCACTGGTTCTGGAGTCACTCGGCAACTGAACATAATGGTTCCAGGGAAGAAGAAACTACCACCTTCCGGCTCTCCCCAATCCACCTCCTCACAGTACACAAGAGATGAACTGCCTTTGTGCCCTTTTTCTCAGGTGCTGCTTCACTGATATTCCCAAGAGATCTTCAAATGTATAAAGCACACTGTGCTCCAAATTCCACCACAGCTAAAATGCAGACTCATGCTCTGCACATTTAACCACCCATCTGCACCTACATGCACATAGCAATGCAGAGAAACACACCCTCAAATCTCCCAGCTGGCAGAAGGGCATTTCCTTTTCTACAGATTTCTATTGCATGCTCTTGTGGAGAAGGTAAACCAAAAGCTTTAAGATCTTCAGGGCAAAACTGTAAATAATAATCAGAAAACTGATTGTTTTGCACAACGGGTGCACTCAGTATTTTGCATGACTATAAAAAGTTGCTGCAGCACAAGCTCCCCATCTGTGAGTAAGCAGAATTGCTCAACTGAATCTTGAAGGGACAAAAACAAATATATAAAAGACTTAAGCACTTATCCTTCCAGATGTTTTGTTTTCTACTGCCTTGAAAGACCAAACTAAAATGAGTCTGCCTCTCACTGGGCTTACTAAAGGCAAACCTTTATCCCTAAGAAAAAGCCCAGGAAAACATAAAGGGAAGTGGGAGCTCAAAAACCTGCAGTTCACATACATTCACCAAATCCAAAGTGGCGCAGAACCACACTGTGTATTAATTTAGAAAGATGGCACTAAAATCATGATCATTGCTTCCTCTTTCACACAGAAACAGAGGATCGAACTACTTACTACAGTGGTGGACAGCGGCGTAAGGCAGTTACTTTCTTCATGGAAAGGCCATGACAAACACCACCAAAAGCACACTGAGCTGCCACCTTTGTTATTCTACAGCACATGCACCCATTAAAATTGCTGTCACTTGGCAGCGCTGCACCTGTCCAAATGCCGCAGCTGGAAACAGAGGTCAAGGTGTGCTGTTTCACACGCAGCTATGATGGTATGCCATAAAGTAGAAGGAGGAACAGGCTGCAAATCTGCACCTCTGGCAGGAAACCTGCCCCCATTCCTGCCTTCCTTTTGAATAATCAAAGCCAGATCACATTTGTGACTCTCAGAATCACAAATTAAACTATAAGTTGGCCAATGCTCAAGGGAGAGCAGGAGCTCGTGAAATACAACCTTTAGCATACCTTGCCTGTAAGGGATTTCTGCCTTCTTCCTATGGTGACAGCAGATTCATGATAGATATCACATAAAAACCACAACAGAAAAATAAAGAAAAAACGCCAAACAAAACATTAACTACATGTACAGTTCTGTTTGCAGAAGTGAGTACTCCACAACAATATTTTGTTCTTATCTTTGTGCAGAAGTAAAACCACCTCCTCTTCCATGTCCAATGGTAATACTGAAGGTAAAGAACTAACAAACATTTCACAACAAAAAGCTCAGGTCACATGTGTGCAGTGAGGTGTAAACTGAACTAAAATTTAAGCTCCCACCCAACATTCTGCTAGACTCATTAATGGCCAAGATGCCACCTATTCAATGCATAACAAAACTACTTTTGTTACTGCTGGATTTACACGCAAGGTAAGATTCCTTTTAGTGCTGCTATATTATGTGGTGGAAGGTATTTTAACTTTTTCTTGCTATTGGCAAGTTTAAATAGTGCTGTTCGGTTTTAAATTTATTTACTTGTCTACTGATGCTATTTGAACAGCAATGGTCTGAACACAGCAGTTTTGAGACACGATCCTGAAATCTAGTTGTGTGATCCCTCTGTGTAATGTCACCCTGTGTTACCTGGATACCTGCTCACCAACATGGGTGTACTTCTGCAACTTCAAGTTTGGAGACTTTTTTTTTTTTAAGGCAAATTCGTTTAAAAGAAGGAGAGGGAAAAAAAAAAAAGGATACGCAGTTCCTCTGATGCGTTTGATTTTGCCAGGGTCTGTGAACTGAATAGGCTGCAAGACCTTTCTCACTGGGCAAGCAAAGAGTATCTCCCCACCCCCTTTGGGAGGCATTCCTCTCCGGTTGATCTAGAAGCAATAATGGAAGAAAAAAGCAGGTTAGTAAAGAGCACAAAGAATGTACTTATACACTCAAAGATTACAGCTTTTATTTCACATATAATAAAGTGTTATCAGTGGGGATATTGTGTGAACACAAGCAAGAAAAAGACATCCTAAAGGCATAACTGGATTTTGCACTAAACCTGTAAGAAAAAATTTGATTAATTTCCCCCCGCCCCAAGTACAGTAGGGCACAGCTTCTCAATGGAAAACAAAACAAAAGAAAAGCAACCAAACAAAAAACCAATACCTTTACTAGGAAGGCAACCTGGGCTTAAGACTGGTCTCTTAATAGCAAATCTGTACCTCATTGCTGAAGAAAGTCTCTAAGTGTTTGACGCTTGGTATGTATACAGGGGACAAGGACGGACTCACCCCCGAGCAGGCCCGGCCAGCCTGAGCCTGTC